CGCGTGCTTGGACTTTAGAGTGCTGAGTGGGGTTCATATCTCCCCCTCTGATGCTCTGAGTTCATGTGCCTGTAAAGGCCGGCGTCCCAATACTTTTGGTAATATAGTGTGTGTGTATATATATATATATAGTGATATTTTCTTGCAAAAATACTTTTTTTTTCTCTGCAATCCATAGACAAATTATATAACAGAACTAAAAACAGGCAAACGTTTTTCCTACTTTGATCAATGTTAGCTTTAAAAATATATATATGTATAGTTACTGTAGATAAATATTAGGGATGCACCGATACCAAGTACAGTACTCGGTACAAGTACAATTACAGATACTTTTCCAGCTCCAAGACCAGACTAGAGAACAATTCAAAAGTTTGGAGGCAGCTGTCATTTGTAGGGAGCACACGGAGCTCCCGGGATTTGTACATCTCTGTTTTAATGTGATTTTGTTTTTGTAAACATATATAAATGGATGCACTGATACCATTCGTGGTACCATGTTTATTGTCATGTGACAGTTTTTCTAAAACAATACAGACTAATGATTTCAGAACAGTGGTGGAACGCCAGAGCCCAGTCCCAGCTGCAACCCTGGTAGTTATCATAAAAGTGGCAAGTATCGGCACTGGTATCTGAAAAGTATCGGTGCATCCCAAATAAAAAGTATACATTTTATGCCATCATTTTTTATGTTTAAAATGCTGATTGTGGCAGAAAGCAATATTCGTCTTTTACAAATGAAATGAAGCCATTTTTTTAATGAGACACAATGAGAAAAAATAAATAAATAAAAATGGTTAGAAAATAGAAATATACGCAAAATAATTAGGAATCTAGTATCTAAGGGGAGAAGGGGAAGAAGGAGTTAATTAGCAAACAAAAGGTTAATAAGGAGTAAAATTGTAACCTTTTTTTTTTTTTACTTGTCAGATTACTTTAACTGATCTCATGGGTAGACAGAAGCCCATGCCATTGATCTGCAGATGGATAAAACATCAAACATGGGTAAATACAAAAATAACAATGTTACTTTCTATCTCTCTCTAGCTTCCCGCTTCCATCCTTTATTGGGCCTATCTGCTCCTTTCTCACCTTTTTACTGTTAATATATTGGTAAAAATTTTTGGGGTTCTTTTTACTATCTGCGGCGATATGCTTTTCACACTCAGTTTTAGCTGCCCGGATTTCTAGTTTGCATTTTTTGTTACATTCTTTGTTTTGTCTCCAGTTTTGTCTTTTTTTCCAGAGAGGGGAGCTAATGGCATTGTGATATCTGACACCCTCACAGATGACGTGTCTCTTCCTCACCCATTCCTTTAAAGGAGAACTATGGGGTCAGTATTTTTCCCCATAGTTCTCCTTAGGGTAACGGGAGGACACAAACTAGCGTCCTCCCGCCACCCTAAGCTCAGTATACTCTTGTAGAACTATGAGGTGAGTGGAAATCACTCATCTCATAGTTCTCCTTTAAATCATTTTTGTTAAGAAATAAATCATACACACCCGTGCTGCACAAGTCATTATCCAATTTAATATGAATCAAATAAACTTTTCTACTTCAGTCTGCAGACAAATGTAATTTTCTGAAAACGGATCGCACGTCGGCTGCATTCATTCTGGTTATTTTAGCACTCCTTTACTGGGCGGCCATATTGCCAGTGATGGCACCTACCTGTCACGGTGGGCGGGACATGCTGCAGGGCGTTCATACATTGCTCTCTGTATTCTCTCCACTTCTGGATTGTGTCAGACAGGGACACGGCCGAACTCTGGAAGAAAACAACATATTTGTATTATTACATGGGGAGAAAAAGCGAGAAAGGTGAAATTCAAGAGTACCTGTCACACACAGAACGTGTCAGTCTATCAATTCAGTCTGCCAATCCTCTTATGATATTGCTTAGGCATAAAACACAGAATGGGATGAATATTGTGAAGCAGCAGTAGTTAGAAACCTTTTGAGAGCTCTTTCCTCACTTCCAGTCCCAGAAGCACAACAGCCTGTGACCCACCAACATGCTGCAGAGGTGTTCTCTCGTTTTCTGTGTGGAAGCAGTGGCCTCTTGGCAGAGGTCCCCTACTGAGTCAAACCTATATCCAGTGGTGTAAAAATCGCCATAGCGACCCAGGCGGCCGCTATGGGGCCCGGGGCACAGGGGGGCCCGGCCAGGACATCCCCCGGATGCCGTGCAGGCTGCCTGGGTCGCTATGGCATCTCAGGCTGTCACTGGCGGGTATAAGGAGGAACGTGTCGCTGTTAGATCACTGACAAACTCCTCACAGCCGCTGCTGAGTCAGTAACAGCTGGCAGCGGAGGAGGAGGCTGGGCCCGGCGTTGGCAGCGGAAGAGGAGGTGGGACTCGTCGACGGAAGAGGAGGAGGCAGACAGCGGATCGGGGCTGACAGGTAAGAGGTGGGCAGCCCACCTGAGAGTCTATGGTGGGCACTTCTCGGTCACTCTCAGGTGGGCTGTTTGGGATCTCAGGTGGGCTCTGCAAGGGGCATAACTAGAAATCACAATCACAGGGCCCCTTACCAAATTTTGCTATGGGGCCCTGTGATTTCTAGTTACGTCCCTGTCTGTATCTGTGCAATTATCAAAGCTTATGTTTCCTACTGATTGTAGGGCTCTAGTTGTGTCTCAGTAAGGGATGTATTGGACCTCTGTAAAGAGACCACTGCTTCCGCACATAGAGCAAGGGTCTTCTCTGCGGCTGCATGTACAGCCAAAACTTTTTTTGGTTGTTTTGTATAGAGCAGGGAAAGTTTAAAACCTTTTGAGAGATCTCTCCTAACCCCAGTCCCAGAGGCACAACAGCTGCAGAATGGCCTGTGGCCTGCCAGCGAGCTGCAGAGGAGGTCCTTTGCTTTCTGTGTAGAAGCAGTGGTCTCTTTGCAGAGGCCCCCTACCGAGTCAGACCTATAGCTCTGCAATCATCAAAGCTCATGCTTCCTCCTGATTGGAGAGCTCTAGTTCTGATTCAGCAGATGGGTGTGGCAGACCTCTGCAGAGAGACCACTGCTTCTGCACAGTCAGCAAAGGGTCCTTCCCAGGGCACAAGCTGTTCTACTCAGGCTGTGGCTCCTATCTACAGAAAAGACTTTGCACACCTTGTATTGTAATGCACCTGGGATGTATTTGATACAACTCGAAAGCCTAATTGGGCTTCAATAACACAAATTGCTGCATTGTGTGAAAACGTCACTTAAATGATAATGTCCTTCACAGACACAAAAGACGGTAATTGAGCGGACTCCTGGATATTAATTCTGGCTTTTGATGGGTAATATCACACCTTAATGAGTTTATGTTTAGTAGAAATTCCCTTGCGTCGTATCCCATTGAGTTTATTGCAGGAACGGCGGGAGGCGCCATCAATTCTGCATAATTGGGGGATAAAAGCTTCCGGAGTCTGACAGCCGATGGAGACGTATGAGGAATGTTATTAAAATAATCACCTTTATGTGCAAGAGGTTAAACCGGCGCTGATAACCCAGCCGGGCCTGTCGGTTCTGATAACAATATATTATACATCAGACCGATAAAGTGACTTCAGGGACATCCGTCTGTGTGTTCCCTACTGTGGGCGGCGTTTCCTTAACTGTGAGAGTAACATGTACATTTTACCCTACCGGTGATAGGAGTTTTCAGAGGGCCGCACTACACAAGTTCCAAATCCAAACCCCTCATATCTAGAAGAAAAACATTCCATCCCAATTAAAGCTGAACTCCAGTCAACATCTAAATACACAACATCTATATACACAATGTATACTGTGTATTATATGTCATATTTATATTATTGTGTATACATATTTGTATTTATTGTTTTCGTTGTTATTATTATTATTGTTATTATTATTTTATGTATTTATTTATTTTGATATTGATAGATAGATAGATAGATAGATAGATAGATAGATAGATAGAGGAACCGGCCAAAATTTGTACAGTGTGTACCGCTGTTGACACCCTTTCGATCAGCATTCCTTCGATCAGCTGATCAAAGGAGCCAGTCGGAAAATCTTCACTCGATCAAAGCCGGCAGCACAATGAGCTGCCCGCTCTGGTTGGGTATTCTGACAGGGTCAGAATACCCAATCTGTCCTCATCATAACGGAGTAAGTCTCCCATATTGCAATTTTCCACATTTGTGTGACTGCGACCTTTCATTTATGTCATTCAAAATAATAATAATAATAATAAAGAAAAAATAAGATAAAACTGAATCCGCATTTTGCAAGCAGGGCAGTTTTTGGAGAGCACGGCGCTTTCTTCCTTTGTGACTGTGACGTTCTGCTGTTCTTAGCCTGAGATATGGTAGAGAAGGTTATTAAGTGATTAGTGCAGCAAGAAGTGACCGGGGAGATCCGAGGCTTGCCGCAGCCGGATGATTGGATGGAGCTGCTACATGACGGCGCGGCGCTTCGGGGTGAATATTACAAATTGTTCTATTACTCCCACCAACGCCGCCGGTCTACAGAGACATCAAGTCAGACGTCATTTATGCCAGCGTAGAATTAAGTTGAAAGTCACAGAAAACTCGTTTGATAATGCGGATACATTCACCTCTCTGCCATTCATTCGCTGCGGTACTGTTTACAAAATTGGTTTTCTGTAGTCGAATAAATATCATTGCGGCGTAACTATTCCCCTTACTCAATGTCACAGCCTAATAAAGGCGCTGACAACGAGACGGGTGATATTTATTACGTGATAACAAGATAAATAATCAGAGCGATCAGGATGACATTGCGCAGGCCCTTGTAAGGAGTGATCTGCCAGTGCCTGCACACACACATAGGGGCTGGTTTATAAATCTTTCCACCCAGCCATATGTTCAGTGAATGTCATTCACATGGCATTTCCACCATCAGATGGAGCCAATGAGCTTAGGAAACTCATGTGTTCCTTGGCTTCATTTAATGGAGCATTCCTGCCACTTGCTCCTGGGCTCCATCTAGTGGAGCATTCCTGCCATTTGGTCCTGGGCTTCATATAGTGCAGCGGTTCTCAACCTGTGGGTCCAGAAGTGGGTGGCAACCCATTGTTGAGTGGGTCGCTGCATCCATTTCTGCTGCGCTGGGTGAGAGCCTCCTCAGCCTTCTCTTTGCGCAGCGAGAGGACAGCAACGGCTGAGAATATAAAAGTGCCACTGTACACACTCCCTGGCTGTTGCAGCGACATCTAGTGGCCGGGGAGTGTTTACAGCAGGACTTTTCTATTAACAGCCGTTGCTGTCCTCCCGCCTCCCATACAGTGCGGGCTCTGCAGGAGGCAGGCATCTTAGCAGTGCTGGGGCTGAGAAGGCTGCATGGAGACAGAGCAGGCAACCAGGGGCTTGCATTCTTGTGAGTGTGCTTCTATTTTATTTCACACTGATGTAGAATGCTCCAGCAAAATGTTGCAGTCTCCTTTTAATACATATAGCACAGGCTATGAGAGAGAGAGAGAGAGAGAGAGGGAGAGAGGGAGAGAGGGAGAAATCAGCCGATCACATGGCAGCAACTCAATTCATTTAGGCATATAGACATATTGAAGATGATCTGCTGGAGTTTAAACCGAGCATTAGAATGCGGAAGAAAGGGGATTTAAGTGACTTTGAATGTAGCATGGTTGTTGGTGCAAGACGGGCTGGTCTGAGTATTTCACTGGTGATCTACTGGGATTTTCACACACAACCATCCCTCGGGTTTACAGAGAATGGTCTGAAAAAGAAAAAATATCCAGTGAGCGGCACTTCTCTGGGCGAAAATGCCTTGTTGATGCCAGAGGTCAGAGGAGAATGGGCAGATTGGTTCAAGCTGCTAGAAAGGCAACAGTAACTCAAATAACCCCTCGTTACAACTGAGGTATGCAGAATACCATCTCTGAACACACAACACGTCCAACCTTGAAGCAGATGGACTACAACAGGAGAAGACCACACCGGGTGCCACTCCTGTCAGCTAAGAACAGGGAACAGAGGCTACAATTTGCAAGGGCTCACCAAAATTGGACAATATAAGATTGGAAAAACATTGCCTGGTCTGACGAGCCTCGAGTTCTGCTGCAACATTTAGATAGTTGGGTCAGAATTTGGTGTAAACAACATGAAAACATGGATCCATCCTGCCTTTTATCAATGGTTCAGGCTGGTGGTAGTGGTGTAATGATGTGGGGGATATTTTTTTGGCACACTTTGGGCCCCTGAGATAATTACAGGTATTTATATAGTGCCGACAATTTACGCAGTGCTATACATAGTGCACATTCACATCAGTCTCTGCCCTCAAGGAGCTTACAATCCAAGGTCCCTATCACACATGCATACAAACAAGGGACAATTTAGACACGAGCCAATTAACCTACCAGCATGTCACTGGAGGGTGGGTGGAAACCCACGCAACCACAGGGAGAACATGCAAATTCCTGGCAGATAGTGACCTGACCTGGATTCAAACCAGGGACCCCCACTGCTGCAAGGCAGAACGCTAGCCGCTACGCCAGTGTGCCACCCTGAGAACAAACTGAGCATCATTTAGATGCCACAGCATTCCTGAATATTGTTGCTGACCATCTCCATCCCTTTATTACCACAGTGTACCCACCTTCTGATGACTACTTCCAGCAAGATACCGTAGCAAGATGTTACAAAGCTAAAATCATCTCAAACTGGTTTCTTGAACATGATAATAAGTTCACTGTACTTCAATGGCCTCCACAGTCACCAGATCTCGATCCAATAGAGCAGTGGTCCCCAACCCCTGGTGCACTGGTGGAGCACTG